TTTAGTTTTTTTTAGGGTTTAGGGTTTAGGGTTCAGGTTGTGGGTTTGTTTCAGGCTTCGGTTTAAGGGGGGTTCTATAACAGGGTTTATTTTGGGGGTGCTATGTGGTTGTTTAATAGGGGTCCGTTTAAGGGTTCGCGCTAAGGGGTCTTAGAAGGGTTCCCTGCAAAGGTTCCATGAGGGTTCTGGACTGGGGAAGGCTGGGGGTTCAGTGTTTGTAGGTTTTGATGCTTGCTGTATTTAAGGGTCTTAGGGTTGAGGGTTTGGACCCTTCAAGGGGCCTTGGGTGAGGGAAGGAGGGCTCTGCCGGTTACTGTAGGGTTTAGGGTTTGCCTGCTGTAAATAACAGCCTCAGGCACACGTTTCCAATATCCCCCAAACGCTACACCCCAAACCCTCAAGCCAAAACATGCCAAACACCAGACCCTGCCAAACATGACTCCCTGAAGATGTCTAGACATAAACCCTAAACCCTAAACCCCAAACCCTAGCACGCGAGAAGCATCCACGCCAGGAGAGTGCTAGTGAAAGACACGGCCGGCCAGCCAAGATACTATGGAATGCTTGCAGGCCAGGGCCACTAAGGGTCTAGCGATTAGCGCTTAGGGTTTAGGGTTTAGGGTGTGGACTTGAAAACTCGGGTTGCAGATACGGTAATTGTACGTATATTTGATAATAACCCCAGTCAAGGTATCTATAACCGTAGGCATTAAGTCCCATGAACCTCCAAGTAGGATCTCTACCCTAAACCCTAAACCGTGGCCTCCTTGTTGGGACCCTTATCGCCATCCGTGGATTCCTAAGTCAAAACTTTTAAGGGTTCTACACGGTAATTAAGGGGTCATAGCCTACTATTTTGTAGGGTTTGGGGTCACAGGTAGACCCTTAACCCTAAACCCTAAAGCCTAAACCCTATAGACCCTGAACCCCAAACCCTAAATTCCAAAGCGCAAGCCCTACCGCAGGAACCCAAAGCTGCACAACAAGCTGGGGCCCAAACGAGGAGTGCCCGGCAAAGCATACCACCAATCCCTCTCCGAACACCAGGATTAGGGTTTATGGTTTCGGGTTTAGGGTTCAAAGTTTAGCAGTTCAGAAGTTCAGGACGAAGCTTCGTCACATCCACAAGTTGCGCTAAGGTGCACTTGACAAACCTTCTCCCTAAACTCTGTTGAGAGCCGACGGGGGCAGACGTAAAAGTCAACTCAACAAAAACCCTAAACTCGAAAACCTTAAAACCCCAAACCCTAAAGACTCTAAACCCTGGACTGGGCCGGTGGGTTTTTTTAAGGATTCTGGGGCAGCATATCAGAACTTTTCGTCTTGCCTGGTGCTCTCAATGTTGAAAAGCTAGAATGAAGAATGAGGAAGTTAATTCAGCGTACATCCGGATCCAAGCCGTGAAGAACCCCAACCCCCAACCCCTAAGACCTTTTGACCCCTAGCTTTTTTGAATTCCTGATTCCCAAATCGAGCCAAGGCATATAACGCCCTTAGATAAACCCAAACCTTTGTACCAACAAGACCCACGACAAGCACCGAGCTCTCACCAGGTGCCCTTTCGAAGATCAGCATGCCGATCATCGTCTTCAGCCTGCCGCGATGGGGCAGGTGGCCCCTGAGAAAGAGAGGGTTTTCAGCACCCAAGCCTAAATCCAACAGCCTAGACCCCAGAAAATCCCGACTGAAAACCCTTACAGAACCCTGAAAGGAACCCTTCACGGAATTCTAAGCTCTCCTAAACCCTAAACCTTAAACCCTACTTATTAATCCCTAAACCCTAAACCCTAACTATGCAAGTCTCAGGTACGTGCTGAAAGATCCGGGCTTCGCAGATTGCTCCCTGCACATGGGCTTGAACATGTCCAGAGCTCGCGGGGACCAGGACCTCATCAACGGCCACTAGAGGCTTTAGGGTTTAGGTGTTTAGGGGTTGAGGGTTTAGGGTTTAGGGTGAAGGGTTTAGGGTTTAGGGTTCAGGGTTTAGGGTAGAGGGTTTAGGGTTAAGGGTTTAGGGTAGAGGGTTCCTTTAACTTAGGGTAGAGGGTTCCTTTAACTTAGGGTTTAGGGCTCATCAACGGCCAGCAGAGAACCTTAGGAAACCTTCTAAGGGAACCTTAGAGGCCTTGAGGGGGAAACGAGGGATAATAGGGTCTGGGTCTACCTGGAGATCCCCAAACCTACCGTTTTAAGGGTTCTACCCTCTAATTAAGAGGTCATAGCCTACTATTTTGTAGGGTTTGGGGTCACAGTAGGGCTTAGGGTTTAGGGTTTAGGGCTTAGGGTTGGTTTAGGGGTTCCTTTAACTTAGGGTTTAGGGTTTAGGGTTTGAGGCTCACGTAGGGGGAGGGGATCTTGCCGTTCTTCTGTGTTGGGATTAGAATCGTGGTATAGATTTGCTTTGTGAAAATATATGAGGGTTTAGGGTTTAGGGTTCAGGGGTATAGATTTGCTATGTGAAAATATATTGGTTTTCTTCCAGGTTTGCTTTGAAAAAGGGTGCGCGTCAGGGAGCAACGGGGCCTGTCTTTAGGGGTCCATAGCGTTGATTTGGCGGTGTAGGGCCCTAAATCCTAAACCCTAAACCCGAAACGGCCCTAAACCCTAAACCCTAAACCCTAAACCCTAAACTTTGTGGTTCAAAGCCTAGAAATCGTGTCGAGCTCGGTCGCGAGGAGAGATGCGACTAGCAGTCTTTCAGCGGGCTTCGACAACGGTTTAGGGTTTAGGGGGTTTTGG